TGTATAGATATACGTCTTCCTTTAGAAACTATTTAAATATAAAGATTTTTTTACGTTGACTTATTTGATTTTATCGTTATGAATTTTGAAAATATTTCGCCATTTAACATTAGCGTCTTAAATGTACAATATTACAACCTAATTTTGAATAAAAATTTAATTGGGGCTTACAATCACAAATACCGTATGTAGGAACGCAATTCGTATGCATACGAATATAATATCCGACGATAGTTGAGTCTCAGTACTGATATTTACTTTAGCAATAAACTTTTTAACATTGCTTCGTATTTTAATACTATTAAGTAAATGAAATAAAAAGAGGAAAGCAATTTTCACAATCACCGTCACCGCAATCAAAGAACTCTCGCATGTCGGTCATTCGATAAGAACATTTGTGTGCGCCTCGCAACCGCTCGCTCGGTCGTAAAGCGACTTAAATGTGAAATGCAATTTGTATGCAGATGTGTAGACACCACGCGAGCCAAGTCTCAGTATATATTTGTGTTTACTTGCGCTATAAAATTTCAATAATCGCATTGTCGTGTTTTAATATTTTCAATTTGAACAGCACTGTCCATAAGTAAATATTATGCTATTATAAATTATACTAGCATTTGCCCGCGGCTCCGCCCGCGTTCAGATGACCAAAAACCAAATTCTTAGGTTTTACATATTAGTATACTCTTACAGTGCAGTTGTTATATTTTTTCTCAGAAATGAGATATTTTCCCGCGGTAAAAGGCTGTCATGATACCAAATTTCATCAAAATCTCTCCAGTGGTTTTTCTGTGATGCGGTAACAAACAGACAGACAGACAGACACCAAAATTTTAAAAACTATAGATTCGGCCTGTGTATCGATAATAATATCTATTTCAATAAGATTTCCCAAAAAATATCTAATGTACAGATTCGGCTTAGCTACAATTTTATTATATGTATAGATGTAACGCGTGTAGGCGTAAATTTGAGAACTCAAGCTTTTAAGAACTCGGTCGCTGTAGTGGTTTATTTATCCTAAAATAACACTAATATTAATTTATCGTAAATTATAATTGTCCTATATTTTAATGAATATTGCAAGAGAAACTGGTTATAATTGTTCTCCAAATAAAGTAAAGCAAAGTATTGGCTATTCTAGCATGCAATATACTATCTAACAGACTGTTTCGTGCCTGCTGCATTCAAATGTGCTATATTATTTAATCAACGCATCGTAATCCTATAAGGAGCATAAGGATATCATTTTATTGTTATAGTGCAAGTTACTTTATGAATCCTCAAACAGGTGTTAGAACTTGCTTTGTTTATTATTAATAGAATATTTTATTTTCTAACAGTTTTCATAGTCTTTATTTATATCCAACAGCAAGTGTTTGCGTTATCATCGGCAGAATATAAAAACCTCGATAAATACACATATGTATATGTGCTATCCATATTTATAATTTCTTATACAGATACTAAAGAAATCTACAATTTGATAGAAGCAATAAAATTATGAGTTTTTCTTAGATGTACACATATTATATTTTTAGTGGTCAGTGATTTCTTTCATCACTATTGTGACCGTATGTTCTTATGTATTATTTAAAAAGCCGTTACTTCACAATAGCTATTTCCTTTAAAAATATTTCTTCATTCTTAGAAGTACTTACCTTATTTCCAAGACGATGATTATTCATTAAAATGAATTCGAGTATTTCGGTCACGAGATTGTATTGTAATTTGTGTAATAATTATTATATTTACTTACGTCGGTATTTATGAAAGTCTCTTAATTGTCAGATACGTTTCATGTCGTTTTAACTAAAATACCACCTCTGAATGTCTAGGAGAAACTGTTGAAATAAATGATGTAAAGCGTGTAGAATTTTAATTCATTTAATAATACATATAATTTTATAAATTTACTTTGTAACACGTAGAGTACTACAAAAATAACGGGCTTATTTCGTTTTGAATTGCTTTATTCATTACCTGCATTTCTCGCGGCTCCACCCGCGTTCAGATGACCAAAAACTAGATTCTTTGGTTTTACATATTAGTACACTCTTTGTTAGAAAAAATACAAAAACTGCAATGTAAGAGTATTATATATACTCTTACATTGCAGTTTTTGTATTTTTTTCTCAGAAATAAGATATTTTCCCGCAGTAAAAAGTATCCTTTATGTTGCGGGTCAACCACGACAAATAACCAGCTATCATCATACCAAATTTCATCAAAATCGATCCAGTGGTTTTCCCGTGATGCGGTAACAAACAGACAGACAGACAAAAATTCTAAAAACAATAGATTCGGCTTCTGTATCGATAATAGAGTCTATGTCAATAAGATTTTCCACAAAAATATTTAATGTACAGATTCGACTTCGTTAGAATTCTATTATATGTATAGATTTATACTAGCTAAAGCGAATTAATTGTTTGGGAACGTATGTACACCTACTTTGGCTTTCATTGCCAAAGTATTTTTTTTATTTTAAAAGTCACATCCCATCCCTCATAATTCTTATCGCTCCTACAATCATTTGTAGGTTGTTTGTTAAAGTCTATGTACCTACATTGACACGTCACTTAGACGTCGCACATTTGATTTATGCTCGAGACTTTACCATCTCGTCGGAACTATCTAGCACATTAATCAAACTGCATTATGTGCATTCGTCATTACTGTGGTTCAAGTTCGAGAATACATAACTACTTATTTATATTATATATTTGTCTGTATATGTCATTTAATATATATTTTTTTCATAATATGTAATAATTATTAGGACATTCTAAACCGAGGATTTCATTCTAGCGTATTGTTATTGGTTAGCTAAATACCAAAGGTATTTATAGTTTTTAGCGTACAATTTCTTAATATATTATGAGCTTAAAATTGTAATACTAATATAACTTTTTTTTTAATTTCTCATTGCTTTTTGTTTTAATCGGGTTTTTCTCTGACTACTGTAGAGGTTAACTGGAGGAATAGTCCTCTTGCCTTGCTTCCGCTCTAAATCCTAGGGAGCTGGGTGTAACTGAATATCAGCGCTGCTTGAGATTTCGATCTTAGCAGCATCAGCTGAGTTATTATTATTACCCTTTGCCATAAGTTAGTTTAAGCTTTTACGGCCTGTTAACTTTTTTACTCTTTTTTTATGGCAATAAATATTTTTTTATTTATTTGATAAAATAAATATGCAGGCAATTTCATAAGATAAAATCCTTAATTAACTATTTACTATATGATATAAAATGTTTCAAAACAGCTTAACTAAAATCTTATCTTATGCATGCTATTTTGTATGAATTGTATGTGCATTCTCTTCCAAACAAAGATATCAAAATGAGTACATCAACAATCAGCATTATCTAATTTATAAAGTGCACCGCGTTCTATCTGAGGCGTGTATCGTTGAATTCGTCAAGTCGACGCTGCGCGGGCGCATCGTCTATCTAAACTACATTGTCACAGAGTAACTACTCAAAAGTATATACATATTAAATGATATTTTATGAACGTATTGTGTGTTGCTTTCTTATTACTCAAATTTAGTTGTTTTTTTTTGTATTGCATTTTTTTTATACTATAGTCGATTAGATATTTAACCCCTTTACCAGGAGGTTAAATATGTATGTATGTATATACTTTGATCGAACCATATAAAAAAAAAGTTATAGTGAAATTATTTCTAGCTAAAATGTACTCAGTGAATCAACCAATCGTAGTGACAAATGTATTTCTGTAGATACTCTATGGTAGAGCTCTACGTGTGCAACACTGCGCCTGAGTTGCGACCCGCATCCAACGACTGTTTGTCTTTAATGCGGCTATGACCATATTCAGATGTAAGAACACGCCGGCTCACAGTATTTTTAAATTATATCACTGTAGGTTGACTCCACGGACCTGAAACATAATTCATCTCTATATAAAGCTTTGAACTTTCTCGGATATGGTCTTTATGAGTCGGTAAGATTTAGCCGGCGCGTCGTATAAATAACCAGTGTGTAGGTATAATTTAAAGCGACCATCAAAATTAAGAGGTTCTCGTCAAATTTGGTTTTATTTTATTTTATATTTTATTTATCAAGCAAGTTCCTTTATAAGTTGCCTTTTTATGCAAGTCGTATTATTAAATTTTAAGCTACCTACTGGACGTTCTTAAATACACTCGATATTTTTTAATTTGCATTGCAATTACTTATCCTCTTGTTCGAATAACCTCTGGAATTATTATTAAATTGCCAACCAAATGTATATTCCTGTCACTAAATGAGTATTTTTTGGACTTGTTTAAGTATATTTTAAATATAAATTATGTAAAAATTTATGTCATCCTTAATTAAAACAAAAATTATGTTACGTACGCCCAATATTTATGAAATTAACCCTCGATGCAAGCACATACGTGCGTCAAATATTAGTTAGCGACATTGAAGTTGCTTTATATGGACTTGTTTTGTTTGATCTATGCTGCTGAACCCATAGATCATACGTTTAACAAACGCGTATGGCACAGGAAATCTTCACATCCGCTCGTCTAGGTTCACCGTTCTCGCGCTAGACAATGAACCGCTTACAAAACTGTCTGTCTATCGTTTAATGTAATTGACGCGAACATACAGACCTTTTACGGTCTGGTAGCCCCTTTTTTTCTAGTCTGTTCACTCGACACGCATTTATCGATGCTAAGTCGAGTCGGTACCGTCTCAAACTGAATGACTAACCCGAATATTGACAATTGTTATGTTGATTGACATGGGGGCTAATTCTAGATTTCTGTAATGCTTTTTATGGTTTTTTTATTTACGTTATGGAACGATTATCATCATTTTCTGAGTTACTAAGGTTTATTTAGCAAATCTCGCGAGAAGCTTTACTGCACTTTTTAATAAGTTGGATTTAATATTAATATCATTCATGAACGTCGGTATTATAAGCGGGCTAATTTTGGACTAACACGTAATGTGATTTGTTATTATGGATAGTTTTTCTTTTAGATTCCTATCATAAGCAACGACGGTAAAGCTGGGCTCGGGTCGACCAGCCAACCAGTGGCTGTAAAATCGAAGAAATCTTTAGGTCCTGCAACACTTCGTCTCGCCGCTAGGACCAAGATGTTGCAACCACCAGCCAAAGCTTTTCAACAACCAATTGAAGAAGATTCCGAGTGAACTTAAAACTATGTTAATAATTACACAGTTATACATAGATATTAATTATTATATTCATCCTAATATTTTATAGTTTTATTTTCAATAATTACATATGTTATATATTATTTGTTTATATTTATACTTTTTAAAATTAATAAATTCAAGATAGTTTAATTAACATTTGTATTCAGCCCTTCTTAACGTCCCACTGCTGAGCACGAGCCTTCCTTCAATATGAGGGGGATCAGGCCATAGTCCACCACGCTGGCCAAGTGCGGGTTCACATGTCTTTCGGAAACTTGCTAGGTTTTCTTAGACATGCAGGTTTCCTCACGATATTTTCCTTCACCGTAAGGCAAGTGGTAATCATGTTGAAAATGATTCGCACCTGAAAATATCAGAGGTGCGAGACCCGGGATTTGAACCCGCTTCACTCGGTTATCCAAGCGAGCGCGTCACCACTGGGCTACCACTGCCTTTAATTAATATTTACTATTTTATATTCTGAAGTATAATAACATCAGTCCAAAGACTAAGTTTGTGTAAAAAGTTCATTCAAATATCTCATACTGTCGTATAGTCTGTCATAATAGTCTAGTGTCTAGACTGTAAATAACTTCTCTTGAATTTTTATAAAGGCAGTGTATTTTAAATATTTATGACATATATGTATGAAATGTAAATAAAACTAATTCCCATTATTGTTCACTTTTTATTTAGAAAATCTTTTACAAAACGAATTTAAAAAATCTTAATATTTCTATGTACACATATCTGTGTACATAGAAATATTAAGATGTAGAAAAATTAAAGTTTTATTAATAGTGTGTGTTTTTTTAAAGTACTTATATTATAAGACTGCCTTGAGTGTACTACATACATATTTAATTTACTAATGAATCATGATTTAAAGTACAGTTTTTATTAGTAAAATAATAATTTTCTAAAGGGCAAAGTAGGGTTCTTCTTAATTAGACGTATTCAATTTTTTTGCTGTTATTTTACGCTTATTAATAGTCAATTATCTAACTTACGAGTATACAGATAAGCTTTAAAGGAACTTACATTTTTTTAATGGTTACAGGATACATACGAGTACAACATACAGTAAAACTTGTTTAAAAAAACGGCCTGTTAATTTGCGCGAAAATACCAAAACAAAATTTATATGATTTTTTTATATTTATAAAAGGACAAGTAAAGGATAAGAAAAAAATTGAATAAATATTTCTTGAGTGCTAAACGATTATTTTATAAAGGTTTTATAAAAGTTAAAAGATTATTCTATATATATATATATATATATATATATATATATATTTTTCTGGCCTTATGCCATCTTTATTTGTGGCTATTTATTTTTTTCATAAAAGTTCTAATCTAACTAATTTCTTGAATTTAAATTAAGCTTATTATTTGGTCAAACTTAGTAATTTATCTATCACACATATATGTATATAATATATAGTCATCTATTAGAATCAAACAGAAGACACGTCCGACAAGGGCTTCCAAAATGGGATAAAAGTATATATTCAAAGTATCTCAAAGTGGCTCTCCCATTAGATATTTTTATAATAAAAATTAAAGATACATTTCTGAAGAAAACTTTAAAAATCCATATATATATATATATTTTGGTTTGATTGGTTGGTTTGGTTTCGGTTTGATTGGGTTCGTTACTCGAACAATGACAAGCCTTCAAGTGAAAATTAAAAAGACATTTAACTTTCATAGCTTAAAGTATAATTGTAGAAGTATTTCATGAAAACACCTGGGATCATTTTTATTGGATAAGTAAATAATTATTACGGTTACCAAATAAAATGATTACGGTTAATTTTTATTTTATGAGATGGCGTCATACGCTAACTATAGAAAAGTAGAGCTAAGAATGGTGAATTGCTGCTAAGGTTTAGTTGCAATTTCATTTCAAAATAGGTATATTTGAAACTGAAAAAGCTCAATTTTTTCGCGCAATTTACATAACAAAAGCCAATCTTCATAATAGAAGGCTTAAGAAGTTTTTTTGATAGAAGTTCATTAAATAATATCTTTCTTGGTATACGTGACGCTTTGTATTCTTTGTAGCTCATTAGTAAAGGTAGAAGTATTCTTGAGTACATTCTTGGACTACTTACTGTCCTGTGTCAAAAATGTAGTCGTTGTAGGTGTGAAAATTTCTTTTTTAATGGTTAATATTTATATTTTGGTTCTCATATTCATATAGAGATATTTTTAAACAAATCTAGATGTTTTATCATGTTAATTCATTGATATAATACAACCTTTGAAATTTTAGTTTTTCAAAACATAATAATAAATATAATGGCTTTATATTTTAACTAGGTACTCACTCTCGTTTCGTTCGGTTTCTTCCCTAGCTTGATTCCCCATACAAACTGTCATCCCCATTTTCACCTCCTTAAGGGATGATTACTGGGACAAAAAGGAACGTATATCCTTCCCAGGGTCTCAAACTATCTTCGTACCAAATTTCATCTAAATCGATTCAGTAGATCCAGGGATTACCCCCTACAATCTCACAAACTCACAAACTTTACCTCTTTATCATATTAGTATAGATAATATATTATAGTCTTATTAAAGTAGTATTACGAAAAATGTTTTGACTTTATGATATACAAGGATCGTTTAACTATAGTTAATACAAATTAATATATGCAATGTCATGCGCAGGAGTTAGTCTCGTCTAGCCATCACTTGTCTGCTAATAAAACACTATTGAGGCTAACGGTGGCAATTTAAGTTAACGCCAGCGCGTAATGGATTCTATTAAAAATTATCGCTCTGATGCACGACTTGGTCCTACAGTAATGGAGATTGTTTGTTGGACTTTAGATCAGCGTTCAATATAATATTGCCGTAGCTTTTAAGGGTAAAAAACGGTTTTTCTCGATTTCCGGCAAAACTAAAAGTCCTATCGAAAAAAATCAAATGGCAAAGTTGTAGGTAATAGGTAATAAAAAGATCTAAAACGTTTGTATTTACACTTTTTTCACATAACCTCAAAATTTATGTGAAAAATTCAAAAAAACAACTTTTTGGTTTTTTATTTTTATCTTTTACAAAAATGTTTTTGTTTTAACGAAATTTGGTGAAAACTTACCTTTTTATGTCTCAAATACGCTGTAATTTATTTGATTAAAAATATTTATTTTTTCACCTTATTTTGAATTAATATCGAAAAAGCACCCTAATTTTCAATCGAAAATTCCCCGTCTAAAGTATCCTATATGTTGACCCGGATAACCAGCTATCACCATACCAAATTTCATCAAACTCCCAGCAGTGGTTTTTCTGTGATGCGGTAACAGACAGACAGACAGGTAAAAATTCTAAAAATTACAGATTCGGCCTCTGTATCGATAATAATGTCTATTTCAATAAGTTTTTTCAAAAAATATTTAATGTACAGATTCGGCTTAGTTACGATTTTATTATATGTATAGATAATGCTGCAGGTAGTAACCATTTAACTAATGTGGAGGTGGCGTGCTTTCGTGTTGCTTGGCCTAGGAGTGGGCAGCGGCTATTATTCAGCACTGCTCGATGCAATGATTAACTGAAACGGGAGCTTGATTGCGTTCCAACATGCATTGTTCCTATGTACACAGTCTAACTGCCAGCTGGGCAGAACGTATATTGATTTACATATGTCCTAGTTCAATCCAATATACACTAAATTTTGGAAATTAAATTACCATAAATTATATTCAAAATTGTGTAAAAGAACTGTTTCTTATTCAGTCATTCTTTGTTTCATTGCTATAACGATTAAGAAATTGGATTTATTAAGATATTAATTGTATGAATTTAGTCAGAAGCACGACGATACAGACGATACGACCTTGCAAGTCATGACTTTGAGACTATACCTAAGTCTTGGTACTTGAAGCTTTTATAAGGAAAATAATTTAGTTACATCGAAGTAAGATTTTTTTTTTGATATTTATACTTAATTTGAACATCCATGACTAAAAGCGTTTATCAAGCTATTTACCAATCAGTTCTTCTAAGCGATCAAGATCGATATATTGGGTATTTTAAGCGTCAGGAATGTTTCCATTGGTTGTAAACAATTGGTTTTATGTTCGGATCGACTCATCGTTCGTTTAATTTAGGGTTATCAAACGGTTGAACATCCCCGATCTGCAGTCGGCAAGTCACGTCGGGTTCGATTACTCAGCGTGATGCAAGACCGGCAATTTACAAATTCAAACATAATTTACGATCGAAATGATCATTGAGCAAAAATAACGAATAATTGTAGTTTTCTCCAGCGGCATGTCTGAGGAAAATCGTTTTATGGATTACTTGGAGGCCTAAAGTATTATTATTGTAGTGGACGTGCTCGAAGCACATGATAAATCATCTCTGATTGGATATTTAAAAAAATTGGACTTAATAATTTTATTGTCGAACTTGAAATAACATATAATCACTGTTTGTGTTTTGCAACGTACAGTATTCGATATAATTTTTTAAACAAGAAATAAATTGGGAGTTATTAGTATATGCTCAGGTACTTAACAAAGTTCCTGTTGGCACAAATATTTAACTATTTGAAGTGCGGCCTGATCAAAATTAATTTAATTTATATTACTCATAGATTAAAGGTTTATTAAGTCATTAATATATTATATCGTAAAAGTTGTTTGAATAGAATCTGGGAAATAGTGCCTACCTAGAAGGAATATTCCCTCCACGACCGCGGACACCCCGAGGTGTCAGTTAACAATAGATTTCTTAGAATTTTACCTGGAAATGATATGGCGTTAAGTATTGTAAGTGCACATGTACATAGATACATATGATTACATAAAATAATTACAAGTTATATGATAACATATAATTTTAATATATGCCTTGAGGCCAAGTTCCTATTTTCCAATGTACATCTAAAGTTATTTATTACTCAGGATACAGACAATTAAAAGGCCGAGTTAGAAAGTTAATAAGTTATTTGAATGCAGCGTTGTTAGCGATAGTTT